ACACTCTGCCCCTCCATGTGAGGTCGGCCCAGACCCTAGGGGTTTTTAAATCTACACTTAAAACTCACTTCTTCTCTCTGGCCTTCTAGTCAGAGCGGAGCACGACTCCTGACATTTCCCTGTGTGTGATTTTTTATTTTTGCTGTTGTATTTGTTGTAAAGTGTTTTTATTGTAAAGTGTTTTTATTGTATGTACGGCACTTTGGCTCGTCCAAAAATCGTTTTAAAAATGTGTTATATAAATAAAACTTGATTTGATTTGATCCAATCAATAACAAGGACAGTTCAAGATTGGAAAACAAGCAGTATTTGTTTAAACATTTTGGGCTTATTCCTGTTTTTGAGACCTTATAGTTGTAGGACCAGAAGCAACATAAACTCTGACAGAAACTCATTAAATATATGCACATTTGATCTTTCGCTTGATTCTTATTTCTGTTGAGATATATATTTCCTCAGCTGCCAATGACTAGAGGCCAGTGGAGGGAGAAGTGAAAAAAATCAGAAAAAATCACTAGCTTCCTCCATGAGACATAGACATGTTTTGCTTTAGTCAACTCATGGTGGAGTCACAACACAAGTCAGAAGTGACACCCTACAACACAACAGAACATACTGGGTGATTTTTTTTCTCAGCATCATCTTCATTGTGGTTCCAGTCAGCAAGATCATTTATTATCATATTAAGAATAAATAGTTATTTCATTGAACTACACTAGTATTGGTTTAATGCCTAATTAGTGGTATAGTAATAATAATAAAGCTTTATTTATATAGCACTTTTCATACAACACGTGCTGCTCAAAGTGCTTTACAAAAGGACACATCACAAGTTAAAAACAAACAAAGAATTCCCGTCAGATTACTTGTTAAGACCTTTAAAAAAGGTACATGCAGCAAAATATAACATTTGATCAGGTTAATAGACACAACAAGGTAAAATGTATGATCATTAAAATAAAATAATTAATGGTTTCTCTCTGACAGATTAGAAACAAGACAACTGAGTCGGTGCAACAATATAAAATATAAAACCCCATAAAACAAAGTGAACATATAGGTAAAGAAATAAAAAGATTAAGACCTATGAAAGAAATAAAACAATATAAAGTTAGGTAAATAATAAAGACTAAAAGAACATTTAAAGTTGGAGGTTGCTAATAAAAAGCTAGTGACATCCTCAGCCCTGTGATGTGTGAGGTTTTCCAACTATGCTGGTTAAATGTATGTTGTGAAACATTGTCCTTTGTAGAAATGTAGACAAACAACACACCACTAAAAGCTGGTTCCTTGCTTATATAATTTTGTTCAGCACAGATTCTCAACTCATCTGTTATGATAACTATGACAAAAATGAATCTGATAACCTGACGTCAAAACTGTAATGATCCCACATCTGGATCAATTACACTGGATCAACTTCCTCTTTTTGCTGTCAGCGCACACAGGTGTGAACACATTACACACAAATGAACACCAATAATAAGAAGAGCTGAAAGCAGGAGAAGAAAAAATATCTTTACCTGCAGAACAGGTATTCAAAAACACACCCACAATTCAACAGAAGATACCTTTGTCACATAGAGACACATACAAATCTCACACAATCTTCCTTCCGCGTCAGCACAAGTCTAAACCACATGTCTGAAATTCCTCCTGACCGAGATGTGTGAGCTGATGATTTGTACTCGAGAGTTTGAGAGTATTGCACCTCCATTCATGCTGAAGTGCATTTACACCCTTCCTGTTACTCTAGCTCTCTTTTAGACACCGCTGTTCACACAACTATCACATTTTTCTCCCTCCCTAGGTAAAATAAGGACAAGAAAATCAACAAACTGCATATCGAGGGATATTCAGGTGTGTTGAAAAGTGGAGATTTGTTAAGTTAAAAACGACTCTTAACCGATTGAACTGTGAAGTAAGTCTTAACAAGTTGAAATACAGTTATCAAATGCTGTTCAAACAACGCCTATGCAGACAACATCTACCCAGTTTAATCGTGTTCTGACCTGAAAGTCACCAAACCAAGTCTTTCTGCAAACATGTTCAAACAAACCTCGCCATTGACTATAAAAGTGTAAAGCATTCAGGACAAACAGTAGTTGGGATCATTTAAAGCTCCAGATCAGCTTCTAATGGACCTTGAAGTAACACTGTTTTACCAACATAATCATTATTATTTATAGTTCACTTATGTCTTTACCTGAATCAATTAGGAAAAATTAAAGAAAAGAAAACCCAATAACACTGTTTTCTATTCGTCGCCCCAGTGGGGTCAAAGTCTTTTATTTAAATGCTGCCTCAACAGCATTTAAGGGTTAATATGTAAAGTAGGGCTGCAACTAATGATTATATTTAACTATAGCTTTATCTATCATTCAGATTTAGAGTTGTCTTTAATAATAACACTGAACATAACAAGACCCATTCACAAAATCCTCAAATCTGGTACATTATCTTTTTACTTCTTGTAGCTTCAATGAAACCAGTGATGACTAATTTACAACAAGCAAGTTTTTAACCTGTTTTCTCACCATTCTCCCATTGACTTATTTCCAACTATTTTCTTAGGAAAGGTCCAAAAAATTATATAATTGTGAGGAAAAAAAAAAGTTCAAACAACACTTTGAGATAGACACTGCAGTAGCCATTAAAATGAAATGTGATATAAAATGTGTAAACAAACTCACAATTCAACCATTTCAATTGAACTAAGATAGCCAAATTGCAACTTTGTGTTTTCAATTAATCTGCTAATAAAACAAATAGTTTTATCAGTGTTATAATTAACACATTATAATGAAATAGTTGGGCCTCAATTTTTTTTCAGAGGTTGCTGTATGGTCCATTTACGTGAACTGTTCATGCACTGGAAGTAAACTGGAGGCATTGTGTACACGTCATCAATGGTCCTATTATTGTTAAGACTTTGCACACACACCGTTATTTTTTTTGACTTACTGATGATATTTAGTCAAATACAACAAACAACGGAGCTCTTTTTCTTGCCGTCAGGAAGTTGCCAACATTAGGTTTTCTAGCGGGCATGTTTGGAGTATATGTAAAACCTGATTTTGGTTTGCTGCTATCCGAATACAAGACCGCAGTAGACTGCTTCCATCCTGCAGTATGACCAAGGTCTAACAAATGTAACCAAACTTTTATTAATTATTCTCGAATTCATCCTAATGACTGAAATCAAATTCTATACATAAGAAGTTTTTGAAAGTTCTGAAAAGTCAGTGGTTTCTGAGTTGACCTTTTTGATTGATTGAATCATTCAATCCCTGATTAGCTCCTTTCTATATTTGCAATGTGATCAATGATCACTGACTCACAAACAACCGTTGTTGCTTAAGATGTCGTCGATGAATTTAAGAGTTATCACTTAACTGTTGGAAACTCACTACGAAACCCGAGCCGACAGCAGCTCTACCTGTGCAGGGCTCAGATTGGTCTGTGCTCTCTAAAGTGTGTTATCTGCTCAGGTTCATTTACCACACACTAGTTCACTACAGACTCAGAGGCTGTGTGTGCACTCACTCAAGCACATCAAATGATCATCTTTTCTACCCCCAATGCATTTCCTGTGAAACCACCAGAGTTACTGACAAGGCTGTAGCCCCGTGAGAATAGGGGACTTTGTATTGCTTTTAAATTACACAACTCTTCCCAGTCAATGCTGTCCGAAGAGCAAAATGTTGAAACTTTTGGTCGTTTTCTTCTTAAAAGGAATACTTCACAAACAAAATGGCCGTTATAATATCAATGATTTTGCATCGCTGTATGAGGACTAAAAACAGTAACAGTTTAATGGTAAAACTAGATCCTAACATCCATGTACAAACTCTCAAACAACTCCTGCAGTATAATCCAAGTCTTGTCCATGCATGTTCTTCCCAAACAAAAAAAAGAAACCCTACAATCCTAAAAACTCAGAGATCCAACACCACGCAAACATGAGACTTCTCATGTAGGAGTGTTATAAATAGTACCTTTTTAGCAAAAAGCATGTGTTTGGAGAGAATTAATACATAAATGAGACTTGGATAGCACTGCAGTTGTTGTGAGACTGTTTGTATAAAGATAGTTGGATATAGCTTTGTTGTTGTAATCGCAGCACCTATTTCCTAAAAGGCCTTTCTCTGACTCTCCATTTACCATGGAGGCATGCAACTAAAACAGTATTCTTAAAGAATTCAACTTACACGGGTAAAGACATTATATATAATTGATCATTTAGTTGGTGAAGTATTTCTTTAACAAAGAGCAAAATGTGGAAACTGTGGTAATTCTGTTCCTAACCTCACATGGTGGGTCAGATGACTGCAGCCAGATGAGTTGGGGTGGGTGTCTGAGATGGATGAGTGAAAAGAGGAAGTGATACCAACATTTACTGCATTACTGCAACATGCATGTGGTTGAGGGGGGGTCACTATGTTGCTGCAAGGGGGCTGTTTATGAATCCATTTTGTGTAGAGGTCCGTGTCTATACTCCCACTCGTTACAACAACCAGCTGCCCACCCACACACACTCAAACACATCACATCCCACCCACACACAATCCCACCATCTTACAATTTCAATCAGATATCAGGCTCGATGTAAAAAGCTTGAGAAAACTAACTTCCTGGTCTATCTTCCTCCCATTTCTCCTCGGCCAACCTCAGACATCTCAGCTTTCAGTACTCCGCCGACTCTTCTACTCTTACATCTCACACTGACTGTCTCACTGTTGGCAAGCACCTGCTTTGAGTTTGACACCTGCCTGCCAACACAGCATGCCGTCAACGAAAAAGCACAACAGTTCATTCTAAACAGTGTGCAGACCTGAAGCCCTGAACACAACAAAAGACACACATACGCACACAGACACACACACACACACACACACACACACACACATATAGCAACACTCCTTCAGACAGGGAACATCCGTCCACACACCCACAACCATATGCAGCAGAGGGATTTGTGAATGAGCCACTGCTCTTACCTTGGCACTGGAATCCCTGCTTCCCAAAGCCCCTGTGGACAGAAGACAGGGATGTGAAATTCGGGGAATGCACAAGAGATGCACAGACAATGACGTATGCACACACACATGCAGATATCGAATCACACATGGACACACACATCAACACAGACACATTAACACACACACACACACACACACACACACACAGCTGCAGCCGCAACAGTGGGGCCCTGTGTCTCTGTGTCTCCAGCTGCATTCCTCCACCAGACCTCCAGTTTCAGAGATGGGTCGATGCGGTAAACGCCGCCGAGCAGCAGTGACTGCTCTGCGGCTGCCGACAACACATCCCCCCTGTCGCATTGTGGAAAACTGGGGGAATGGCGCATCGCAGTGTTTGTGACAATGACAATGAATGAAACACTGCGGTGTCTGAACACTGTCAGTGTGGAAGGAGGCCGAGCAGAGCCACAGCAGCAGCAAGTGAATCACCTGTGTCCTCTACCACCTCTCTCACACTCACCAGATGAAGTCCGTGCAGTGGCTGCAGAAGGTGGGCTGCTTGAAGAAGCGCGCGATGAACTTGTGGTTCTTCACCTCGTGCACATTCTTCTGGCGGAGGGCTCCCTGCCGGGCGAAGCCGCGCGCGCTCTCCGGTACCTCTCCGTCGCTGCCGGGGTCAGCCATCTTAACGAGGAAGCGGCGACGGTCCGAGAGGAACGAAGGGTGAGGGGAGCGGCGAGAGAGAGGGAGAGACGAACGAGTCGCCGTGCAGGTTCCTCCTCCTCCTCTCCGCCCCGCTGTGCGCCTCCGTGTCGCTCGTGCTGTCGGTGGATGGTCGGTGTGCGTCCAGTGCGCGCTATAGCTGCTGCTGCTGCTGCTGCTTCTTCCGGCGGGTCCCCGTGCCGCGCTCCTGCTTCCCTGTTCTAACCAGTATATGGTTCTCACCAGTGTGTTTTTTTGCTCACAACCAACTCTCCCTCTCTCTCTCTCTTTCTCTTTCTTTCTCTCTCTATCTCTCTCTTTCTCTCTCTCACTCCCCCCTCTCTGTCTCTCTCTCTTCCCCTCTCTCATCACTCTCTCTCTCTCTTTCTGAAATTTGAATGAGCTTTAATATATCAGAAACCTTGTTTTGCCAAAGAATGTTCCACAAGGTGTTACACAACAAAATGAATAGAAAAATAAGAACACGATACATGTGGCACAACAGCAAAACATGAAACACTTACCAACAATAACATGTCATTAAAAATCAAAGAAAGTGTGAATCTCCAGGAAATCAACCTCAGTCAATGTGAAGTAAGAACATATTGCAGACTGCAGCTCTCTGTGGGCTCTCCAGATTAAAATGTTGTGGATGTTTGTTATGTGGTCAAACTCAGGGGGAATATTTTGTTAGGATTGTCACATGATGAGTGAGCAGATATTTTTCTTACAAACTATTAAAGCAATCGTTGTTAACCAAGTCAAACCACAAGTGCTGCATACTTTCAGTGGAGTATGACTTTAGGGGACACGCACACACCCACAGGGCTGGATCAACCTGAAATGGCTCTGGTTTGGGGCCCCAGACTCAGAGGCCACCAAAGCCCCAGGTTCATTTGGTGATTGAACTAATTGCAAATTGTTTAAGGATGCAAGTTCTTAATTATTATCTTTTTGTGGACCTGTCTTGTCAGGATCAAATTATAGGGAGTGAGTTATGTTATACAAATGATTCACGCATGTTAGCCAATAAAAAAAAATAGCCTTCTTTCTTGCAGTCTTGTTAAACTAAGATAGTGCTGCTTGACTGCGGTTTCATGTTTATCCTTCAGAAATGAGACTAACCAAATCATCAAGGCACCTATAGACAAGCAACTTCTCTGTTCTGCGAGGTAAAATTACATTTTTTTTCCATAAACTGGTGGCTTTGAAGAAAGTATATAAGGATGTCAGTAAAGTGTACATGTATACCGATAACGTTTCTTTTAAGTGGTTTAAATATAATTTGGTGCCGCCCCCACCAAAAGCAGTATTACCATGCCATAACTCTGGTCTGTTTCTCCGAACAGTGGGCATGAATGACAACTGCCATCTGCTGTTGGTAATACACTAGATATGTGCCTCATACAATCCCACTTCTAGACTATCGCTTTGTTTTATTAAAAGCTCTGCCGATCCAGGTGATGTGTACGTAGGAGGTTGTGTGTGAATGATCTGAACCTGTTATGTTGCAGGTTTAATGTACGAAAAAGGTGTTCATCTCTCACCTGCCCACAACACCAAGCATTCCAGCATTCATAGTGTTTAACTGCACATGTGCATTTTAATGAAATTAATTGACATTACACATATAATGGTAACATTATATGCATATAAAAATCATATGCAAACGTTTTAATTGGTAGATCAGACCCACTTTTACTCCTTCAATCAATGCTGTGACTATAAAAACATTTATCACTGACTATCAGACTACTATAAACCTTATTTTATATAAACTGAATTTCTGACCAATTTTTTTATTCATAAATCTGTTCGTATGTTTCAAATCTTTTGAAAACATTTGTTCTGAGGTCAGGTGATCATTATACAACATTTACAACAGATTTGTGTTAAATATACTCAAATATATTAAAATATAGGCTAATGTATTACGTTTCTATCTTAATCTTCACAGACATTTTACAGATATTTCTGGGATATTCTCGCCAATGTATTTTTTTTTAATAGTTTGACAGTTTTCTGATCTGATATTTTACAAATTTTTCTTTGGGATATTTGACTGATAACTGATTTATTGAAAAGTATAAACATTTTTGAACAGTTTGAAATAAAATGCAATATAAACTTAACAAATGACAGAGTTACTGAAGATAATGAACAGAAAGAAAGACTCAGGTGGGCTTGAATGCTCTTTGCTGACCAAACCATCGAATGTATCATTACCGATGTTGAGCTATTTATATTTAATTGACTTCTCAAGTTTAAAAACAAGGCTGAGTCAGTGTGAACCTTTTTATTCAAAAATATTTGTATTCAAAAATCTTATCATCTTATTGTACCACTCTCAGGACTAAGAAATCCTTACTAAACTAAGAGAAGAGGTTAAGATCATGTTTTCATGAATGACCTTCCTCAAGTGGATTTGTTGCCATGTGACTGTAGTGTGCCAGTAAATGCAATAATAACTTTTCTGCCTTTTTAAAATGTGCTTTTAGAAATATCATGTAAGATACTATAAACTTCTCTCAGACTTATGAACTATTTTTTTGAATTACTCTCAGACCAAAATCATATAGTTATAAAGTGAAGTAAGGACTGCTGACAAAAAATGAAAATATGTTCTACCTAATAAATACTATAGGAGAACATATTTTTTGTTCACCAGATATGTAATTCATTAGAAACATTATTGATGTTGATGCATTTTTAAATTGCATTTTACCCCATCATGGCAAACTTGAGAAAATAGCTCAATCTAGTGGAAAATAGATACAACTACAGTTTTGAAGCAAGGGCTCAAGATTGAATAACTAATGTAATACATTGCATAATTTATGACCTTGCCAAAATATATATGTTATATGCATCAACACAACCCAAAATGATCTTCAAGTTAAAACATTTCTAAGTCAAGAAATGTCTTTAGTGCTGCATTACAGTTATGTAAAGGATCTCAATGCTACAAATTGCATATGTCCTGTAGGAGGATTGCCAAATGAAAAAGTTACTCTCCTCTAACATAAATATTAAGAACAATTTTAAATAAATTATAAGAAACCTTTTTGAATCATAAAACATAGCCTCAATCTTAATAATGTAGTTCTGCTTCTAAGTGACTGGGGGCCATACCTTCTCCTTAAAATGTAATTAGATAAGATTACTTTATTGTCATTACATAATGCAAGCAGAGTGTAACGAAATTAAGAGGGTCTAACCAGAGTGCAAACAGTCAGTTATATACACATCTATCAACAGTCTGGACAAAATAAATGATACAAGTAAAGGTATCTTATATGAACTTTAACATTGCGCCCTCTTGTGGCTGAACAGATGAATGTCAGGTACTGCAGTTTTGTATAACCAGCTGCAAGCCCCGCCCACCTGGCCGTGTTCTATTGGTCAATACTTTTCCATATACATACCTGATTGGACAGCATGGGCTGTTCGTCACAGTTCCCGGAACTAATGAAAACATTGTGTAAGTGTCCTGTCTTCATCTAAACAGTTCAGTAAGTACCTCTAAATGTTTATTTAAAAGAAGTCTGAGACTGTTGAGTGAGTGCTTGAGGAAGGAATTTCAATGATACGTAACATTTGCATTCAAACTGTCTCCAGATATGCCGGTGTCTCCTGTTAAAACGCGCATCCCCCTCACCAGTTTGGGTCATCTCATAACAGAGGTGAAGGTAAGCAGAGGGTTTGAGTTTTGCATTTCCAGCCGTGAAAGGGCTGTGAAGTAATGGAACGAAAATGCATCTGTTAAGATTGACAAATCGATTGACTTAGCAAACATTGAGTTATTTGCATTCCCCTCTTATCGTAAAGACCTGTGTGTTACCATTTGCTCTTGCATTTTATTTTTTATTTTCCTCTGATTTTTAAAACACAGGTGAAGCCACTTTCACTACCTGAAAGAAATATCCTTTCAGATTATATTTAGCTTGATCATAAAATCTTAGATAAGATAAAGGCCTTTTGATCTCCAGAAACGACATTGAAACAGTCTAAAGGTAGAAATATATATAAAGTATAATAAAACAAATGGTTGTTCGAGAGTGTGGACTTTAAAAACGTTTAAAATAAGGACATGGCATTATAAAGTGTTATATATGCACACTTTAATACAGGTAGTAGCCTATAAACATTGTATTACAAAAATAATTAAAACTTGGATTTAGTAGACCATTGAAGTTCTAGTTGAGACCAGCATCAGTCTGTCCACCCTGCCTGGGAAGATTGTATTTATTTCAGGAATGCAAGGAAGTCATAAAAAACTAATTTCTGTCTACATGATTACTGTGACAAAAGTAATTGTTAATACTGTATATTAGCGTGATGTTTTGTTTTGTTTTTTATTAGGATCCCCATTAGCACTAGCATGAGCATTGGCTATTCTTCCTGGGGTCCTCACCCACACAAAACATACATAATACAAACCAGAACAGAAAAACTCATCATTTCATGAAAAGTGCATGGTAAGGAAGTGAAAGCAAAAACAAAACAGAAAAAAATAGTCAT